GGTATAAGTATTACTGTCCAAAAGCAAGTGAGATTGTTATTTTCCAAGTCACATTTTGTTCTGCGTTTCAGATTCTACATCTTACGCTGAGATCAACTGTCAAGCACAACATCAGAGTTATCACAATTTTGCCTCAATTTGTGCTTCGCAACACGAGCAAGAAAGCTTTGCTGTTGAGAGTATTTGACTCCTTAACATCTGATAAGGTAAGATCAAACCTGAAATGAAATGTGTTATTTCCAGCAGTTTGATGTCCTAAAAATGACCTTTAGGTTATTCTATAAATTTGAAGCCAAAGGTGTGGCACTTTATGTTACTGTTGCACCCGACCTGTTGTAATTTGACGTGGAAATATCATTGCTATTGACTCCAAACTATTTTGGCAGGTAATTTGCATTGTATAGTCACCCCTGGAAATTAAAAAAATGTGTTCTAAACATAAACATCCCTTCTTGTATGTGACAGGGACACAAAAAATTGGCCGTCAAATTTAAAGAATGACCTCCTCTACAGGTATTAATTCACTTTTTAATATTGTTATCTTCCACAAGCAGGTTGCTGTGCGGGAGTCTTCACTGCAATCCGTGTGGGTTCCTCCAGCGGATTCCACAGAAACCTACATCCCCATCACACAGTGGAACGTCCCTTCTGACAATCAGCCAGTGGCAAATTCTCACCCACAATCCTCTGACACTCCAGACAAAAGCCAGTTTCTCTCAATGGCTCTGGCAACCTTAGAGGGGACAAATAGGAAAGCAGATGTCAGAGACCCAGCCAACCAGGAGCAGACTCACTGGAGTAGATGGGCTCAGCTGGATATTTCTAGACCAAGGATTCCGGTGGCAGTACCTGTGAGCATTTGCTTAGAAAATTTTCAAATGTTTTGCAGGTTGATATTTCTCTTCAATGATTAGTTGCTGGACATGTTTTGATGATTTGAAATGGTGGTACCACATACCGTTCACTCCACCCGCCCCTCCCCAAACAGCATGGGAATCTGGATTGTCCTACATACATTTAAGTCAGTTCAATGTTGTTATTTTTGACAGATAAACCAAATTTTCAGCCAGGCCTCACCCAAAGCAACTGCCACCACAGAAACCGTTGCCACGGTACCCTTGATGGCTGTCTTGGCAGAACAGGAAGGGGTCATGTACGTAACCGTTGATGATGACCCCATTCCCCGCGTAACCATTGCTAACGCCTGCTCCTACCCACTGCACTTCGGGCAGAGCCAATTTCAAGACACAGATCAGGGTTAGTAACAGCTTATTTTTATCTATAAATAAATAAATATAAATATATTGCAAGTTGGACAGAAACGGTTGTCGTTACAAAGTTTCAAAAACTGTGTGGTTAGAGAAAAAAATGCTGTTGAAGTCAGTTGGAATATCTGAAAAACTAAACATGACTTTTATCATCATGAGGTATCAAGCCCCATGTTTCTGATCCTCCTGTCTCGTATGTTAGATAAATCTTAATTTTATCTTTTCACAGCAGAGGTTCTGGAGCAACTCTGTGCCATTCCTTCAGTTCCTATAGTCCTTCCCCACTGTCTTGTCCATTATGACCTCCAGCGGCCAATACCTGGGTCATCTTCAGATGGAGGACAGAGATCATACACCCCTCATCTTCATCTATGCCTTGGAAGTTTCCTGGGATTAGCTATCAGCCTTGAGGAGCCACGAGGCCAACATAAGCAACAGCGAGAAGAAAGAAAGGTACGTCACAGTTTTCTTTTTTATCCAAGATTTTTTGGTGATTAGATAGACCCATCTCAACAAAGCTATGTCTTCCCCTAACATAGCGTGATTTAATTGCACAATGAAAAGCAGTATTTTGTAATCTTATGTGAAAATCTTAATTTCCAACTCTTTGATCAAATCATAGTCTGCTGATATGATTTGTGACAGAGATCTTCCATATTGCCTGTCCATCCATGCAACTTTTGTCCCAACGTGAGAATTCACTCCAGACAGACTCAACTACCACACTGATCTGAGGTTTATTTCATATCTTATTTTGTATCAGAGCAAGTACTCATGGAGTGAGGGCATCCGGTTAGCTACAGACAGCAGAGAGCAATCTGAGATAGTGTCCATGGCTGGAATAGGCTATGTTCTTGTCTCCAGTCACTATGTGGGGACACAGTTACAGATCCGTGTAGATCCTCTCAGCATGGATGTCTCAAAAAGTGATGGCAGCGGTGGGATGCAGTCGTCAACAGAGCCTTCTGTGAAAGCTGAGCCGAACTCCTTGCTGGCTGTCGGGATGGAAGATTCCAATCTGAACAGGGTTAAATCATCGCATTCATCATTAGAAATGGCAATGTCATCCAGTTCGCTCTCACAGTTGCAATATAAATTCAGATTATCCGCAGGGTGTGTCGTTGTCATGGTCATGGATGAAATCACCGATCTTGTTCAGACGTCAGAGATGCTTCGCATCACTATCCACGACATGAACCTTTTGACTTTTCCGCTTGTTGAAAGTGGTACAAAGAGCCCTGTCCAACAGCAGCAAGTAGAGCTTTCTGCCCGGGCATGCCAAGTAGACAATCAATTATACAAACAGGCTGGGAAGTATGATTTTGCTGTTATCCTTTGTGATCAGGAAGACTCAGGAAGGTCTAGTGAGGAGGAGGTACCTTATGATGGACCCATAGAGGAGCTGGCAGCATTTTGTTGGCAACACCACACACTCGTCTCTCGGGTTTTACTGGAAAGCTGCTCGGATTTATCATTCAGTTTAGCTTCTCTGGAAGTAGAAGTTAGACCCTTGGAACTTTACGTCGAAGATCAGTTCCTGTATGATATCCTTCTCAAAGCTCAAACCTTCATTCCTGCCAAGTCTCGTGAGCCAAATCAAGCAATCACAAGCCACAGATTTCCAGCCAAAGTCCGCATTGCCAGCAGTACCCTCAAGGAGCCAATCAGCTTGCGACACTTCCTGATTCAACCAATCAGATTATTTGCAAGTGTCCACGCCTCACTGAAGTTGTTCATCGCAGCTGATAGCACACCATTGTCCTTCAGACAGTTTGACAGTGGTCCGATGTTTGCCACAACAAGGCAACTAGCACAAGCCCTAACCATGCATTATACATCTGGTGCACTCTTCAAAGCTGGTGAGTAGACGCCAGAAAAGTAACACTCATCTTTAACATCTGTTAAGTTCAGAAGCATCTCAACAGTTAACTTTCTCGCATGTCATCCTGTCTGATATCATGAATACACTCTCAAAAGTGTTGTCGAACACTACCACAAGATGTATAGTAATATATCTGAGTTATATTGAACTTGTTGGGGTTTGCGCTCAGGTTGGGTGCTGGGATCGTTGGAGCTACTTGGAAACCCTGCTGGCTTGTTGCGTAATGTCGGCAGTGGTCTGGCTGACTCTGTCATGCTGCCATATGAAGGGTTGACAAGGGGACCTGCAGCATTTGTTGCCGGGGTTACCAGCGGGACGTCATCTTTACTTCGACACCTCTCTGCAGGTTGGTTTGTTTGTGGAAATAAAGTCATGGGCTTAGTACATGTACATGCTGTTGTTCTCTTCAGTCAAAAGGGAGAATTTAGCGTGAAGTGAGGGCACTTTACCGTAATCCAAGTTGCTCATGCTAGCCCAAACCACTTTATTTCACACTGCTTAGTATAATTATGCCCAAGTAGCCTCAAAACTTCCTAAAACAGTAAAACAGCAAAACAGTGCTTTATGAAATCACCTGTTTCTTGTGTTGGCAGTCTTGCAATTGATTGAATATCCCCAAAATTGCCACATTCAGGAACATTGACGTCGATCACAAAGTTTGCCTCCAGCGTGTCCCGTAATCTGGATCGTCTGACCCTGGATGAAGATCACATTGCCAGGAGAGAGAAACAACGACGCAAGGTGCCAGACAGGGTGACAGATGGGGTGATACAAGGCTTGAGCGGCTTTGGTATCAGTTTACTGGGTGAGTAGACTTGGAATGTAGGAATAACTCCTGAAATTTCAAACACAGAATTCATTTACACCACAGGCTGCAGAGGCATGGGGGTATTGGTGAGGATATTGGTGCATTGTCAGTTTAGACCTTCCATTTGTTTTGTAAATAGGTAATATTTCTTGGTTTTTTTGGTCATATACCATGAATACAGGAGCAATCGCTGGCATTGCAGACCAACCAATTAAAAGTTTCCATCAAGCACCAGACGTCAGTTCTCCAACCCAGAAGGCAACAGGTGTCATACGGGGTGTCGGCAAAGGTCTAGTGGGTGTGGTCATCAAGCCATTGGGTGGGGCTGCTGAGTTTGTCTCTCAAACTGGACAAGGTGGGTCTCAAACATGATCTTCCATCATGATCAAGACTTTGAGAGGTATTCAGCAGTGGATCAGTGAATAAGATGAGCATTAACACTTTAACCAGATAATCAGAGCCGTGGGCATGAATTTCACCATGGGCAGGCTTATAATTCCTTTGGGTTCATCAAAACACGACTTCAAATAACCTTGTTTATGGTTATGAATCATCAGGTGGCATCAAAGGCGAATTCCCCAGTTTAACTCCATCCATACAGTTTGAATTATCTTAAAATGTAAAAATCTGTACTGCAAGTTTATTTTCTCATGACATGTAAGTATTTTACAAACCAAAAAGTCAGAAAGTGTTGCGTAGATTTGTGTACATGCATGATTATATAATACATGTACTCTTTTTGTGTTTCCTTACTCCTAGGTATACTGCATAGCACGGGCTTGATTGAAACAAGAAGCCCAAAAGGAGAATGTGTGACATCACTGACTGCCATGGCAACCAACAGCAGACTCAAATACACATGGTAAAAACAGCGGCACCTTGATAGGTTTTTGGGTCCTTTTTTTATTGGAGGGGTAGAATGAGAACTTTGTTTGCGCTCAAAACTTTCTCCAAAATCGCAACTCACCACTGCACAAGCTGTCGATAGAGTTTGACAAGGATATGTGAAGTTTAATTCTTGGCTTCTGTCCTGCATTAATGAAGGAAAATAAATTCAGTACCATTTTAGAAACCTTGATGTATAGGTTTTTATTTGTTCTGTAGGAAGATGCTTCATTCGCTGCCCAACGCCGACATCCTGATGGACTGCGATATCACCACCATCACCTTCCACGGCCTGCAGCGTGGGGGGTGCCTACTCCTAACACCTGAAGTGCTCTTCATCGTCAGCTCCAGTGAGGATACCCAGCAACAGGCATTCCCGATCTTTCAGGTGGAGTGTATCCCCCTGCCAGGAAGCAGCGAAGGGGTGGGAGTGAAAATGAAGAGGCCCTCCTCGCCATCAGTCTCAAAGGTGTGTGAAAAGAAATAGCCTGTTGTAATTGGGTGCAGTTCTCCAGCTAGTGAAAAAAACTCTTCAAATAAGGGTAGTTTTTCACAGGAATGTGAAATTAATTTACACGGTGGATTTTTCCACATGAATGTGAAATAGCTTAAAATAACTCGATAACTCAAAAATGTATACCTATCATGACATTGTAGTGACAGCAAAGTACTGAAGAATAATTTTATTTTTGCAAAATATTTCATTTATAAGGCCAAAAACTTTTCGTGGGGGTGGGTATTATTTACTTTTTAAATTCCTTACATGGATGATTTTGGTGTCTTTTTTGTAGAAGGAGGAGACATGCAGCCGTATTGCTGATTTTGTTGGAACCATTCCCTCCAAACCATGTGACCCATTAGACATTGATCCATTGGTTAGTTCTGATAGCCAATCAGAGGGTTCCTCCCTGCCAGGGGGACACACAGTGGATGATTCCACGGGCACGACAGTGTACCAGTACTTCCTTCAGCGGGCCTGCTACCGGAACACATTTCTGAGCTTGTTCCAACAGGCAAAGAACCGACTCTTGGGGAAGGGGTTTTGCTATGACGAGACAAACAACACTGGCTTCAGCCGCTTCAAGACATGGCACACCAGCGCCAAGATGCAGCTGGAAGGGACTGAGTAGATGTTCGGTGAGGAAGATTGTGTTGCATCCCAATGCAAGCGCAGGCGAAAAGATGTAGAAAATTAGGAGCTGCAAGACTGCCAAACGATATGCAGTTGTAGACTCCACGCATTAAAGATGTCCAACTGAAAGATGACACTACGTTACACAGCAAGTTAATCGTTTGAAAGTTAGGGAACTCGAGGTAGAGTTCTAATTTCACAGAGAGAGTAAGCCGAATATATTGTTTCAAATGTTCCCTAGCTCCTCTCTTCTGCATGTTGTACTTTTCTTCAAATTGTGAACATCCAGGCATTCTTTTCATGACTGATTGGCAGTACGTTTAATTGACCATGATAAAGAGTGCAATTTTTCCCAAGTTTTCAACTGGAAAAGTGTACATTTTGTAAAACTTCAAGAAGCTGTGATATTTATATTAATTATTATCTTATTTGATTTGGACGAAAAACCTGATTATTTTCAAGCAACTTTAAAGGGGAAACTGGCATGAACTTTGACGATTTTGTGACTGCATTGGCACATTTTTGTATCATGTTCTTCAGTTTGAAATAGACACAGTTGTCAAATAATTACTCCCAGCGTGTAGTATTCCAAAACAAGATTTCATTTGATGTTACAATAGTCTGCAATAAATTACCAAATGCATGTGTTTCTTGAGGGGACATTTTAATCAGTTGCCAGTTTCCAGCCCATTTTTGCAGTTGACTTCTTTTGTTCAGGGATTCGGTATGTATCACGCTTTGTGTTTTGGTGGCATGTTGGGGACCTCTGCATGCTGAGTCTGTTTATGTCAGTACAAAAATAATCTGCAATCACCGAGTGAAATCATAAATTATTGTATATTCAGTTTTATTTTATTTTGTTTCGCTTGAAAAGCTCATCATTTGTATATAGTGGTGCAAATACAAACATAATAATCTGGCGTGCTTTCATATTGGTTAAGTAGTTCTTTTGAGGTTGATTTGTTTGCTCGATAAAGTTGATAAATATTATTTTGCATGCTTCTTTCGTTGGCTGTGTTTAGTTTGGGTATTTTTCATAGCTTTCTGTTTTTATTTTGTATGTGTGGGATCTTGATCGTGATCATTACAGTGCACAAATCACCCTAGCTGTGGCTGTCAATGTGCAGTTCCTCGTGACCTTGAATCTTTTGGCCTATGGTGCCGATTTGATTTAAGGTGGCAAGGCACTCCACTCAGGAATAATGCGGGGTTATAATGACATCCTTTAGCAGTCCATCTTAGTTGTTCACACAGTAGATGGCTGGCATTCTGAGTAGTGAGGCCATGGGTTTCTTTCTGGAGGGATAACAGCCTTGAGTTTATTCCTGTTTCAAGTGTGTCCCATTTGAGCTCTCTAATCATGTCTTTGGCGTTGCTAGTCTTTTTGTAGTCATTTTTGGCTGCATGTCTCTGCACTTTTTCTTTGTATGTGTCCTTATAGGGATCCCAAATTGAGCTGGCATATTCGAATTTGGGTCTGACTTAAGATTTGTAAGTTATATCTTTAACTAGAGACTTGTAATTCCAGAAATTTCTGTCAATGAGTTCCTGCCTGTTTGCACTGTGTGTTCTGCTGTATAAGGGCACTTGTCAGCTGAACTCCAACTATGCTTGAACTCTTCGTGCATGACAAGTCTCCCATGAAATGCTGATGATTTGTACTATTACAGTGGTTTTAAAGGGACATGGTAGGAAACAGTGTATTGTTGGCAAACAATATTGTTAACCCTAACAGTCCCAAATCCTCCGATTTCAATATGATTTTACATACACCCAAGGGAGTTAGGTTTAAGGGAACACCGATTTTTGTTGAGGGAACAACCATGTTTGTTGGGGGAACAAATTTGTTTTGTTCAGGAAATGAGTTTTTGATGAGGGAACAAATTTTGTTGATGAAACAGCAAATTTTGTTGAGGGAACAAAAATTAGTCGAGCAACGAATATTTGTGCGAGTGTGTCCCGCGCTTATACTACACATGCCGCGCTGGCTTTAAGCACGTCCCCACGACGGAGTCTTCATGTCTGTTGTCGAGGGCTTCCCTTCCCGCCATATTGACAACTGCCTAGTTTCTCTGTATATTGTCCGCAGTGGTGTTGTTTCAGTGTCAATTTTCGTTGATTAAAATTTGTTCCCTCAACAAAATTCTTTGTTCCCTCAATAAATTTCCTTGTTCTCTGAACAAAATTTGTTGTTTCCTCATCAAAAGTTGTTGTTCCCTCAACAAACTTTGTCGACGATAGTTTTTTTTTTTTAATATCACGTCCCTTTAAAACTGCAAAACATTTGGACTGGCTATATTTTATCTTCCATGTAGACTCCCGGGCACGTAATGAAAAATCGATGTCATAATGAAGACCAATCATTATCTGAGTCTTTTTTTATAGAATTACATAAAACAACCTCACATTCGCTGTAACATTGTCTCGTAAACCCGCGTTGATAAAGGTGTATACAGCCTAAGCACAGCTCCTTGTGGAACTCCAGAAACTGTGTGAGAACTAAGTTGACCGCTCACCATCGATAACAACTCTTTGGTGTCGTGTTATAAGGACTTTTTCAATCCCGTTGGGAGATCCCACCCAAAAAAAAATCGACACTGAAACAATTTTTTCCAACTTTCTTGGACGCCACTCAGATCTGTATGTATAGGCCTACATGTAGGGCCTATTTCTGACTGGCCCTCCTAAAGTTAGTTTTAAAAATCCTGATTTTTTGGGGGGGGGTTTTCCACTTTACTACAGAAAAGTGCCAGTCTCTTATGAACAAAGTCAGTATGCGATAATCATCCTGGGAACAATAGAATTGCTTGTTCAATATCAGGTGAATTTGGAGGTTTTTGTCAAGCGGTGCATCACCAGCGTACGCGTACCGCGTCAGGGAAGTGCTTTTGCCTAGCAACAGTACAACGTGGAAGTTTTAGCTAGACTGGTTCTGTATTAGTACGACGAGCTGACATTAATTAAAGACGTCGGGGGATCGCCGCCGCTCTCCCGCGGCCCGGCCAACCGCACCAATGCTTACTATGCACACATATACGCACACTGTTTTCGGACTTCGCACATGAAACACTAAAGTTTCAACTTGAAATTATGGAAATAATTATAATGTACAGATATTTACAGATACAAGATGCATCAACTGTAAAACCCAAACGTGGAATTGTGGAATTATTCCACTAGGCATTATGGAATTATGAATTTAGTAGCCAATGCCTTGTACAAGTTGTATGCCTGAGCTAGGCATCCCTTTCGGTCATGCCGGTTTTACTCAGCCGTGTTTTCTAGAAGAAATTTCGAAAGTGATTATTTTTCAGCGATTTTTGAATTTTTTATTTATCATTTTGAGAGACTGAATTATTCCGCTGTCCTAAGGTGGACGACCGTAAAACCCCGCGAAAGTTTAAAGAGCTGACTGTCCAACGAGCCATGAACGCGACGATGTTCACATGCAATACATTATTTTTTAGTTGATATGTTGAGACGTAAGACTTAAAAACTGCATGAAAATAAACTGAGAAGAATTTTAAAAAGGTTTGATTTCTTTCCCAATAGGATGGGCTATTATTTGGACCCTTATGTGGGTCAACTTGGGAGGCTGTTTGCGCCGCCAAACCAGGCTTGACCACACGTGATGTTAGCCCCGCGAAATACAACTCGCGCGCTTTGCAAATTCTAAAACCACTCTTGCAGTCTGCTGGGTCGAGGTGGCTGTGTCGTTGTTCCGCTTCCTTTAATCTGTCTAAATCTCCCCATTCATTTGCCATCCTTCCTCCATAATCACCCAAAGTAGTCTTTGAAGTACCCATTATCCAACCACCTGTTTTTTGTTTCGAGAATTGTGGCCCAGACGGGAGTAATTCAAGCCAAATATTCGACCCCGTTCGGTAGAGAGCGTCAACCAAAGCCAACACTACTATTGTTGACGTTAACCATCGTACAGACGCAATACAGTCTTAATACATGTACAGTATGCCGAGGGGTGCAGCTCAACAACGGCCGGCCAGCAACATCACGACCCAGCATTACAAGCCAAGAATTCTTATCACCAGCTCAACGAGCCAGCAGCACCAGCAGCAGGATTTCTCCACCCTTCCCTGTCCAAGTTTTGACTCCGAGATTCCCAGCAATTCGTATCTTGACGAGGTGGTTCCGAATTGGGCGGAGGGATTTGAGGATTTGTTGGACGTGGTGGACTGCACACCGGATCTTGCAACCAAAGGAACGCGTCCTAGTCTCGGCAGACCATTGGTAGCCTACTTTTCTTCCATAAATTCTCCGAATGTGTTCTTGAAGATCATATTCTTGCCAAACTGCTGTCCTTGAGGTCGTGCATTTTGCAGCTCGAGTTAAAAGTTTGGGTCGTTGGCGGGGGGGGGGTGTAAATTTGGGGACCCTGTTCCTAGTAGTAGTAGTACTGTTAGTAGGCCTAATAAGTGCTAAAACTTATGAATTGACCTTGGTCAGTTGGTAGATGACTGTGACATTATACTTAATAACTGTAGGGTTGATTTTAAAAAAAGGGCAATTAGGTTTTGAGTTTTTATGGAAATTATGAGCATGATGAGGGGAACTGGATGTTTTAACAGATGACAAAGGCCTATGGTGGCTTCAAATTTGCATGGCTAGTTTATCAGTAAAAAAGCCACTCTTTCTCACAATTTACAATTTGAAATTTCCAAAAATAGGGTTAGCTCAATGAAAAGAGTGTTGCCTTTGTTTGTTTTTTTGGGGGGGGGACTTACCAGTTTTGCAAGATTAAAATGACAAAAACTGGCGGTCCCCAAGTATACAATCCCCATTTTTGGTCAGGGTAGGCCCAGCTGGGCAGGATTATCGGGGTGTTTTTGCAATGCAGAAAGTAACTGGACAGATGTTGAGCTTGTTCTCTGTGGTCTTGAACGTTTCTTTTTAGTATTTATTTAGGAATGAGTTTTGTTCATTGGGAGAGAGTTCCACACGTGGACATCATTTGACGCCCTGTGCACAAACCCCAAGTATGAGTTTGAGACTGGAAGGAAACATTCCAAGTATTTTCTAGAAAAAGGAAGGAGTTCCATATACCGTTGCCGCTTGACACCCTGTGCACAAACCCAATGAGATTGGTCTAAAAAATTGTGTTTTCTGAGTAAATAACATGGTTTTTTTTTCTCCTAAATTGAACTTTTTGCTTACTGACGGTTAATAGATCACAGTAGGAAATAATTAGTAATTACTGGCTTGAACTCTTCCCGGTTTCTAAGCATTTTGACATCATTAATTTTTCCTTTGCAGTGGTTTGTTAGCCATTAGAAAGCGATAACATGTATTGAAAAGTCAGGTTTAGCAAGGAAAATATTGAAGCATTTCCTTAGAAAACAAGAATTTTTCAAACCAGTCTCGTAAGGTTTGTGCACAGGGTGTCGTATGATGTCTACACCTGAAACTTTCTGTCTGCTGTCTGATCAACAACAAACAATAACTGTAGCCTCCTCATAACTTTTTCATGGGGGGGGGGGAGTGGGCATGATTTTTCAACACTTTAATCTTAAACCCCTACCCAAATCTCACCACCACTGTTGTGGTGAATGATTGTCAAAGTGGGGGGTCCATTTGTGAGATCATTTATGCCTCGGCCATGAAAGGACCTTTTAAAAGTAGGGGGATGCTGACACCCCCCCCCCGCTTCTGCCGCCTGTGCTGCTGAATCCAACAACATCCAACAGAAGTGTAAAGCCTGTTGAATCTGATGATATCCGATCAACAAAATCCAACGGAAAGTGCGCACTTTCGGATGTTATTGGGTTAAGTATGGTCAGTGTTAATGTGTTGGAAGCTTTGAAGGGAGATAGGACCTTGAAAAGTGCTTTGCTTTTTTTGTAGTGAAGTATCACGAAAAAAAGACTGCCTTTTAGTGCATGACAGATTTCTTCATTTCATTCCGTGTCACCAGGCAAAAAGAAAACTTGACTTAGAATTGCCTTCTAGTACTAACGCCAGTCCTGAATTTGTAACTTCCTTCAAAACGCCCAGCCCAAGAGTCACAAAGAAGCGTGTGTTAAAACCTAGCCCTAAAAGCATGCCTAGAGGTAAGTATCATGATGCTACATCAGAAATTCATGGAAAATTGGATTTATTGTAGTCACTCTTGGCATGGATGCGCAAGTTAGCAAAAAAGACAATAGGGGAAGAATGTTGCATCCTGAAGCCATTTCAGCAGTTGTGAACAAAGTCTTTGGGGACTCAAGAAAACTTACAGAGTATTTCCTAACAAAATTGGACATTTTTCTCAGTCCCAGATTCATGTTTTTTCAGCCTGTTTTTTATGACTGACCTTTATTGAGATGTTGGATGTAGACAATAGAGGCAGGGTACAACATTTTTTCCAAAAATGGTATTTTGCCGCCAGATGGTTAACTCTCCGCTGATACGTGCTGATGTCAACTGAAATAGTGGGATGTTTTCATACAAATAATATTGAATTACAGGGGTTATTTAAATAATTGTGAAATTTAACTCTACGATTTTCAATCAATGTCATGTACTTTCCTGTGACAAAAGTTGATTTGATGATTTTAAGCATTTAAATGTCATAGCCATTTAAAATCGGAAAGATCACAGAATACATTTTGATTTAAAACTGAAACTTAAACACAGGCTTTGTAAAGTGTCAGAATTACACCTTTCTATCTTTTGTTTCTTACTGGTTTAGCTGCCAAGTCACCACTTGAGAAATCCCGTTACGACACATCACTAGGCCTTCTAACAAAGCGATTTGTTGGGCTACTGCGAGGTGCTCATGACGGTGTACTAGACCTCAACCAAGCAGCTGAAGTCCTCAAAGTTCAGAAACGTCGCATCTATGACATCACAAACGTCCTGGAAGGAATCAAGTTGATCACCAAGAAGTCGAAAAACAATATCCAGTGGAAGTGAGTGTTTCAAGAAAAGTAACTAATACCATTAGCCTACATAAGGTATGACAGACACAATCCACCTGTAGCAGAAGTACCCCCTCATTGGTAGAAAAGAGCCATGTTGGTCAGGAGCGTTCATTTTGTTGGTAGCAATGCGACTGTAATACGTGCACTTCATACTCATTTGTGAACCAGCAAAGTTAAGTTCCTACCAAATGAGCCTGCATTACTAGGGAAATTGTGCCCTCTCTTGGTCCAGCTCCGAGCTCCTAGAAAGTCACTACTTGGTTTGGATAAAATCTTTCATGTTTACTCCAAATTTGCCCACTTGAAATACCCCCTGTAGTGCCTTCTATTGTGTCTGCCATCCTTCAAAATGGCAAATAGTTGCATAGTCATTCTAAAGCAAGTCTTCTCAGGTGAGATCTTTTGAGCAAATACCCTAAACACATAACAGACTTTACTGTTGCCCCCTTGCCAAATGAAGTGCAAAATCTGTAAAGTTGGTTGTGACTTCACTCACGCCATAATGTCACTGATTCTGTCTGTTGTAGCAGCAACAGTCTTGGCAAACTTCAGTTTATAATGAGCACATAATTATGTTTGAGCTCTCATATTTGCAGTTATCATCATAGGTACAGCCCATCCTCTGCAGTTATCCATAAAGTAACCGACGAAATTACAGTTGAGAAACATACTCAGTTTGGAGATGGTTATGAGACTAAACGCCCTGTAAAATTATTCTTTCTGGCAAGCTTTCACTTTGAAGAAAACAACGAAAGAGGGCCATTTCCACAAATGCCTCTGAAGACACATTTTTGGAACATTGGCATCAGTAGCGCCCGTAAGCATTGGCTGGACACTCATGCACGTGCAGTTACTATAATTCAACAGTTCAGTGCTTGACATCATGTAGCTACATCCAACTGAACTTGAGAGCGTGTCCCTGATGCTGAATTCAGGTGCAATTCAAAACATGACTCAGCAAATTTTGGTCCAAAATCAAAGAATGCTACTTTCCTCGGAATATGGAATATTCACTGGGCTGAAACTTTATGGAGTTTGTTCTTATGCGCCATGCTTTTGTTAGAGATCAAGTACTTTTGCCTCAAAGGAACATAATGCAGAAATGACGGACTGTACCTACAGCCCTAATAGTCCTCAATGTGATTTTTACATGCACCCCAGGGGGTTTGGGTTAATGTACATTTACTTGTCTGTGTTTATGAATGGACAGAGGTACAACCAACTCTGTAGCTGCCCAACAACATTCTTTCCCTCATCTAGACCAGACAACACCCATCACAGCAGCATCCGTCAATCTACATTCAGGTAAACTGATGGCTCCTTCAAAGTTAGTCCATGAGAGAACATCTTACAGTGGTCTTGTTCCCTCCCGAACATTTTCATATTGTGGCATTTTGCCGCTCATGTTCATGTTTGTGATTGTCTATGTATGTGTTAACCCATTTGAGGCATCTTGCCACTTGCCTAGGGTACTAGAAGATACCTCCACACACACTGATGTAGTTTCAACTGTTACACTTTTAGACTATTTCAGCCTTTTATTTATGTATTCTATGCTTGGACTGCTCATCTTGGTGTGGAAATAAATTTGAATTCATTTGAATTGGATTGAATTGAGTTATGCATAGGCATGTTTCAAGAGTGTTCCAAGCTTTACTAAATTGTTCCCAAGTCAGGCTTCAGGGGTAAAGGTACACCTTCCCAAATGGACAAGTTATATTTCTCCAGGCTGGTCTTAGTTGGAACAGAGCATTTCCTGAGTAGAACTTTGAAACATTCACAAATGTTAAACGTTTTTTAACCAGTGAAGCAACGTAACTCGTGCTTCAAGGTCACAACCTTAGCTTAAACAAAAACTTGGGGCTTTTTTTATGTAATAAAATGGTCTTTGTACATGGTTGTCATGTATATATTTCTTGCAGATCTTGCTGACCTAGATGTGCGAGAACGGAAATTAGATGATCTCATTCACAATGCAACTGTACAGCTCAAGATGCTAACTGAAGATCCGGGAAATGCAAGATATCCTTTCAGATTAGCCCAAATAAGTAATAGCTTTGTATTCTAGTTTGTCTTATTTTCTATCATGGGGTATTATTTTTTTGTTGTGTTTGCTACGGTAGGTCATAGAAAACTGAGACGTACAGCGTACTTGAGAACCGGGTCCTTAGGTGGGATTCTTTTTTGGGGGGCGAGGGCACTTTTTTTATGGTGATTCAGCTGAGTGTTAACTGGTTGAGTATAATGAGAAAAGAAGTCGGGTGGCATTAGTTTAAATGAAATGGACAACAGTGCTATGTTAACTGGCAACCGATGCAGTACAACTCACTGGTTTACACTGTCTGGCATGTTTGACAAAAGGTCAACTTGGTCCTTTTGTTGCCGTAGGGACAGTAGCAGAAAGGTTAATGCAGACGTGACTGGTTGTCCTTGTAAGCCTCAAATCACAGATTGCCATCAGTTGACTGCCTCCTGGATGGGCCTATACTTTGCAAGAATGTTTGCAATAAGCCCATTTTCCAGGTATGGCTTTGCTCAACCCAAGCCTTTTATTATTTCAGTCAAGCCACAATTTCCAGAGATTTGGGTTTTTTTTGACATTTTGGTCAGTGCTTTTGTCACTGTCCAAGGTCATTCGTTAACTATGCCAATCCAAACCGTATCATTAAATTAAGGAAAAATACAGTTAGGATCTGTTGATCTTGGAACCAGACAATGGAAACACATAAATGATGAACCCAGGGAGTATGTGATTGCGGTACATGGTACATTCTTAACCACTCAGTGCCAGGGTTCCCGGTACCGGGTACCATGTGTTTGTATGCATAGCCAGGGTGCCCGAAATCGGACAAAGGAGCAAAAGACCATACTTGGAACAAAAGACCGAGCTGCTGGGAATCGCCATCATTTTTAAGTTGGCATTAGCAAAGGTATCTGTCATTGTTTTGAAACAGTATACCACTGTTTGCGACATTCAGTGCCCGCGGATTATCAGTGGGGACAAAAGTGCTCCAGCACTCCAGCAATGAGCAATACATTGCTGCTGCACGCTAATCTGGCTGCATTTGGGAACAAAGGGAATTACGCAACACCTCACAATCTTGGCTCTCTTTACTGGGTGGCAGGTCTGGCTGCAATACTCGGGCGTCAATGGAGGTTGCGTGTCAGATTAGAGTAGCCACTAGACAGTAGTTCGTGTGGGTGTAAGCCTATAGTAAAAGTTATGAATTTTTGAAGAATTATGAAACGGAAAATCTTGAAAATCACCTGCGAACTTATCCTGCATATGCAAATTCCACCCGGCAGGAAGTGGTTAATGATCACTGTGCATTTTCAATCTACATGTTATCACAGTCTGGTTCCCAGCCCCAAAGATCCAACTATACTCACCGAGCGTTCAGCATTCAGGAGTGAGTGGTGACCATAGGTAACATGTTTGCTGTGTAGCTTATGTTGCATGTGTACATGGCTGGATGTGTAGGGCACAAGTAAGGTACTCTAGTGAAGCATGCGTTCAGATCATAATTATTAAAGGGTACCAGTTGCACGCATGAATAAGTCCGTTGAACCATTGGAAACCATTCAAACATTTAATAAGAGACTACAACAGACATAATCTTCTTTCCAATTTCACATTCTCCAAAAGATTTCCCTGAATAAATTTCTGGGTCATGCTGTCAAAATAGGGTTGATGAGGATTGAGGAAACGGGAAGCAGATACAGCTTTCTCCTCTCCTTAGTTTTTGTTTTGTTTGTCTTCTTGACATTCATTCTTTTGGGCCATTATTTTCAACATGGCACAATTCATTGTCTTGTATGCAATATTTAATATCCCGTATTGCTACTACTGCACCTATTTCCAAACCTAGAAGAAGCTTCCCAAGATGTCCTTTACGGGCCGTAAAACCTTCCAACTACACATTAAAAAACCTCTCAACTTCGATATTCTCTTTTATTGCACTTGCATTTGCTCCCCAATCGCCCAGCATTTGCTCATCAGGGCAATTCTGCAGTAACAGAATTACATTTCAGTACAAAACTGACCGTTATTTCCCATGTTATGAATTAGTCATATGATCTTCCTGATTGCAAACACTTTAATACTGTCTGTTATAGCCTTACCATCAAACCAGTAATAAATTATTAAAATATCCTACATGTAGAAGGCCCAGAATGTTTCAGTAATGGACTTACGTCAGAAAATGAAGCATTTTTTCAAACTTAATTTAAAAACAAACTCTATGAAATCTGTAACATAAAGGCCACAGGTACCCATTTATCTTTTTTACCCATAGTTTCAACTTTATTGTAGCAGCAGTTTTAGGGTATTAATACTTACAAATATTCCATACTCGTCATTTTTCCAAAAAAAGGCAGTGGTAACGGAATTACAAAAATGGTAACGGAATTACACATGTGAAATGTACCTGGAAAATGCCGATTCTTTAACAGCAATCTTTTTTTTAATCTGGGCATGTTTTTTCAGCTTTACTGATATTAATATAAACCATAATGCAATGCGTGTATGCCGATCTGAAAGCTATTACAATTTTTATACCTAGCAACAAGGGTGTACAGGAAAAGAGCATGAAATTTCCAACTTCTGAGCCCCAAGTTGTGATCAGAAACAAGGCAGTTGCTTCAAATACATTTGTCAGCTTCAAACTATATAATCCTGCATCAGTTTGTGGGCTAGGACTTGTTTCCATGTATATCCAACAGTATACATTAAACATGGTAACGGAATTTACACATTTACAAATGGGAACACCGAATAACCTTATGTGCTGTGAAATCACAATATAATTGTCCAAATGTGTCAATGCAGTTATGCATTACTACTACGCAGTTGTCTGCAATGCAGTCATCTACATGGACAATGCAGACATCTAGAGTGATTTGATCAGCAACCATATAAGCTAAGTGTAGTAAACAACAGTTGGAGTCACCATATCCAAATGCAAAGTAGTTGACCATCTCTAGTCAACCTTGTGGAACCAACCTCTGGGGCATGGTCCTACTGGTGTTTCAGTAAGGGTCGCGCTTGTATTCAGTAGGACTTAGGAGACTTTTTTGAGGCATAGGCCTAATAGTCAACAACAAAATCTGTTCACAAAATTATTACACCGCGGACCTTCAGTGAATAATAAGCCCAATTAATAATAAAAATTGAACAATATAATGCTAAAATAAACTACAAAGCAATATGTGTTTGAACTTATTCATGTGCGTCAATGCTGCACGTATAGTGCATGCAGTGCATGTAAAGTTTGACCTGTAGGCTGTCATGGCTGTAGTGAAAGTGCATAAAAGTATGCATTTTGTAATGAGTACATGTGTGAAGTAATCACTGACTGAGATTAACATTGTGAAAAGCGCTCCTGAGAATATTTACTTTGGAAAATACTCATCAGTATGCTAAATGTTTCAACAAAGATCTGTAGATTAACAAGTACAGCGTGTGCTCTGTGCAAACACATGTAAGGTTGCAGGCCAGTATATAAACTAGCTGCTGTAACCAACAGCGATAATTGCCCCGAACTTCAAAAAATCAGGAAAAATACGACTGAATTTCTCGGGCGTTCGAGATGCACTGATTTTTCATTTTCTTTTCAAATTTCCATTCATTAACCGATGACTTTTGAGGATATTTCCAGGGAAGGTCACCCCTAAAATGCAATCGTGAAGCCCTTCTCCATTTTGAAATATCGATGTCTACACTTCTTCAAAAATAGACCATTTTCAGGCACCGATTTCTTCCAAATCTCACTCAGATGCAAGCTGGTATTCTCTTTGCCTGCCTAAACCTGTCTTTTCTACAAATCTCCAAGTTCGTGGGCCACAAAATGCTCTATTTCGTAGAGAATTTAAGTGCATACAAATTGTGATTTGGCCCGCTCAAGCACTTTTTTGGCCTACTTACTGGCCAGCATCCTTTAAGGTGCCCTCTGGTGGTACATTTAAAACAAAGAAAGAGATGTGATTGCTGCCCTCTGTGACCAAACATCTCTTACTCGGAGCTTTACTTATACAGCCTCAAGATGTGCATATTTCTGAGATGTAATTCCGTTACCCTCTGTTATTCTGTTACCATGTAACTCCGTTACCAATGTTTCTATAGGAATAAATACTCTTATGTGACAACTCAGTGTTTGAGGTTACTAGGCAGATTAAGGAAAAGAATTTACATTGATGGAATAAATCTGTAAAAAAAATAGGCCAAGGAGAAAAACTTATGTAACTTCTTCGTAATGAAAACACAGCTAATTTAGCCCATATTTTGTAGTTTTCTCATCCAAGTACCATGTCTAGGGAAAGAAAGTGCCTTTGAAACAAGCATCTATGGTCCCAAACCTTTCCAATTATAAACTATTCAGAGAGATTAGTGAAGCATTTAGGAATTATGGCATTTTATAGTATTTAACTTCAGGGCTCCTTATCATAAGCCAAAAAGATACAAAATTTCAAATACGATTTTTCGGAAAAGCAAACATTTTTTTAAAAACTGCCAGGTGTACCATTCATTGACAATGCACAGTCAATTTAATTTTTATTCCATCAGCTTTACAATTAACCACTTTCTTATTTCCCATAAGGAATTGCCCTTCAGACAAGCACTGCCCTCTATTTTTTTATTTTAATTTTTTGGCTTGGTGCCTCATGGTTTGACTTATTAATTTTTGCCACGTTGAATACCTTTAAAAAAAGTGTTATGTGTTTGTGCACACACTGTGGAGAGCATGAACCTGGCAGAGCACTTTTCACTTTGATCTTACAGGCTTGTCATAACACAATACTTTGCCACTGGATTTCTTAACTCATTCACACATTCGCTTATGTAACCTACCATGATATCCGAAGTATTGAGAGCTTTGAGGACCAAACAGTGATAGCAATTAAGGCACCGCCAGAGACCAGACTAGAAGTACCTGACCCGAAGGAGGTAAGTCATCATGAAAACACCAAATCCTGTTGTACTAAAATACACCACTTATATCATATTTTCAGAGGAAGTAGACTTGTGCCTGGTGGCCTTTGGGTAGGTTGTTTGCGTATGGGTCATTCCAGAAATTAGAGGTCCAAAAGTGTGACATTTCTGTGTCCTTGTTACACCTGACCTTTGTTATTTGACATGGAAATATCAAACTATTAGTACTTGTTTGGCAGGTAAATTGTATTGATTCATCAATCATGGAAATTAGAAAATGTGTTTTGAACTGATAAAATCATATGTTAGATGTGACAATGACACACACAAAAATGGACCCCTAATTTCTGGAATTTTTACCCATATCTCACAACTCCCCCCAAGATTTTACTTTAACTTCCACTGCCCTGTTCGCCACTCCACTCCCCTCTGCCCTGTTCCCCACTCCACTCCACTCTGCCCTGTTCCCCAG